GTGTGAGCTTAGGTGGACTCTGGGGGATGGTGGAGGACAGGAAGGCCTGGAGGAATGTTGTCCATGGGGTCACGACTTTGCAACTAACAACAACAACTTGCCTTAGAAAGCAGGGAAGTGAGGAATTGCATCGCACAATAGGCACATACATTTGACCTTTGGTTCCACCCAGAATGCAATATTTCTGCCTTCCTGGGAAGACAATAGCACACACTGACCTTTCTCTCACACTGCCTAACTAATGCCGTATAGCAGGGTTTCCTCCTGGATCAGTTTCATGAGGAAGTTCCTATAAGTCTGGACTGAGGAAACATGTGGCCTTCCAAATGCTATTGGGCTACAATTCACATCCACCCTTGCCAGTACAGCCTATAGTTACGGATGACAGGTGATGGTCATTCCAGGGGCTGCAAGTTCTTTACCCCCGTTGCACGTAGAAAACCTTCTCTTTTCCCATCATTACTGATCCAGTATCTAGTTTCTTATGATGAGCTGGAACTAGCCAGTCATGCTCTTTGACATTCTGGTTATTTCTCCGTCAGGAAGAAAACGTTTGATTTTACTAAAAGGGATCTTCCACAGAAGAGGTATAGAGCCTCAGGACTGGTGTCCACATCCAGTTGTCCTGGCCATACTCCTCTCTGCTTTTTCCAAACATACCAGGACAGCAAAAAGGCTTTACTATGTTAAAGCTGACCAGCTTGGCTTCTTTAAAGTACACATGAAGAGAACTGCAGAAAACATTATCAAGAGGAACATGTAAAGTTAGAATAGAGCCATTAGAAAAAGGTGGCTTAATAGGTTGGTATTTCCTTTTCAAACTGAAATAAATAAACCATGTCTGCAAGTCATATCCTTGGGCTTCAGGTCCAATGGCTTAGAGCAGGGGTCCTCAAACTTTTCCACCAGAGGGCCAGTTGAAAGCTGCTGGTGCTGGGCGCGGGCCGGAAAGGTGGTGCCGGCGGTGCACGCGGGCCGGTGCCTCCCCGCGCATGGGACAAAGTGGGTGCTGGGCACGCGTGCAACAGGTCCAAATGGGCATGGTAGGCCAGATCCGGCCCCGGGCCATAGTCTGAGGATCCATGGCTTAGACCATCTGACCATTTTCAACTCGTCAGCCCTCTTAACCTGGCATTGTACCGTGAGACTCCGGGTATTGGGTCCATCCCCCACTTCACATCAACACACTCACTAAATTTTCCCATAGTATTGCAAACAGTCCAATGCTCAGTGACTTCTTGCTTTATCTCTGGGCCTACTGGCCCTGTTATTTCAGCAACAGATTTGAAGCCTTCCACCTTGTCTGAATCAGAATCTGTTTTTGCAACATTGGAGGCTCCTTTGCAGGAAAAGCAGTTGCAATCATGTATTAGGGTTACCCTGATGGCTATGACTTTCTTCTCATTCATCCCCTTGCCCCATGTTGTGGTTTTCAGGCTTTTGTGCATATTTTGCCCCATATTAAAATAATTCTTCTAAGTTACTGGAAACAAGAACTTGCAGCTACAGTAAATTCACATTTTGGTTCCACTCCCTTCAGCTTTCAGCTCTGCCCACTCTGGGCTTTGGCTTCTGCAAAATAGACTTTGGTCCTTGAACTGAAAGGGATTCTGCACCCCTGTTGTATACACATATATGCCTATTCTTGCAATAAGGTCATGTTTTAATTTTTCTTTAAATCCTGGGAAATAATTTTAAGCATTCATTTGAGTATAATGTTATATTCTATCTGTTCTTGTTAGTCTACTAATTAACTACTTAACTGGTTAGTTAAGGTGTTCCAGTTTGGGTGTCTTCTACTTCACCTTCCCTAATATGGTACCCTCCAGATATTTTAAACTACAACTCCTAAAAGTCCTGACCACTGGGGCAGGAGCTGGGACTGGCAAGCACATGCTTGACGAAGGCTGTTCTACGCCATTATTTCTCATTCTACTTTGTTGTCTTGAGCTTCTCAGCCAAGTTGCCTGAACAAGTAAATGTCAACCCAGGTTGTCTGGGAAGTTGGTTAGGCAAAAGTTTGGCATTAATAGAATGGAAACTTAGTATCCAAGTCAAATTTCCTCCCCCAGCCCCAAAATACTTCACAAGTAGTGCTCTGCTGTTTATGGACTCAATAGTGGTTGGTATTTCCTGATTACTGAGTTTTATTTGAAATCTTCCCCAATAGCTGATTCTTATGACACATAAATTATGACACATAAAATCAAAACTGCATTGAAGAATTTCAAGCAACAAAAACAAGATTGCGCCACACAGTATAATCTTACGAATGCTTGAAACATTTAAAAATCCTGGTGTACGAAGATGACAAGGCAGGAGCAGTGAGTCCTCTTTTGCTTCCCACCTCAAGAAGAGTCTGACATTAATAATATGTAATGCAAATGTAATGTAAACTTAGAGCTCAATGTAAAGCGGTCCAGATGTAGGAATTTTCTAGCCATCTCGAGTCTGGGCACATTGTTCCTTTCACAGCAAATGTAAAAACTAGGTTTGGGTTTAGAGGTCTTTGCAAGATATTCTATTTTCCATTTAAGAGGAAGCATGTTATGCTTAGTATTTTAAGTAATTAAGAATCAGCCCTACATATTATAGAGCTGGTGCTGATTTAGGAGTGCTCAGGGTAGAATGTGCCCTGTAATGTCCCTGAGTATATATGCAACTGGTACCAGATTCCTGAACCCCGCCTTGTACTGTACATCTGCTGTGTACATATTCAAAACTACTCATGGCATTCAAACCTTGCCATTTTTGATAACAAAAAAGAGATAGCACAGTGTTTCCCAAGCTGATACCCTCCAGGTGTTTTGGGATCCAGCTTCCAGCATACATGACTATTGGCTATGCTGGCAAAGACTGATGCCGTTGGAGTCTAACACATCTTGCAAGCACCAGATCATTGCCTAGGTGGCAGTTTACTGCCTATGCATAACAACTGAACAATACAAGAAAAGTTTCCTATGCATGGCAGAAATGAGAGGATGACTTTTCTCCATACCTAGCAGGCACTCTGGGTGTCCATGCATAGATAAGAAGTTGAAAGTTATAAACATGTGAAACTCAAAAACCACAGGTCCAAATTTTATCTGGGACTGAACACCATGGATTAGACTCATACTGCAGCATACTTAATAAGACTTACGTGGCTTTTACACTTGCATGCCTTTTAACATTTTATGTTCAAGCATCAACATGGATGAGAGATAACATGTTTTATCTCTTACGTTTGCTTATTCAACATGTTCTTAATTAGAGGTAAGCAGTCTGGTGTCTTCCAGAAGCCTTGGACTACAGTTCCCACAATCCCTGAACACTGGCTATGCAGGCTAGGGTTGATGAGAGACACAATCCAAATCATCTGAAGAGCATCAGGTCTGCCTGTTATACACAGGTGGACTCAAATTGTGTATTTGTGCAAAGAAACAAAAATAATGAACTGAACTTGATTTTTACAGTAAGGCCTAAGGAAGCGTTCTCTACACTGGTGATCTCGAATTATTTTGACTTACAGCTCCCAGCACTCTTGGCCATTGATGGGGGCTGATCAGAATCAACATCCAAACATCTGGAAAGCACTACAAATGGAAAACGCTGGCGAGGAAATAAATCCCAAGATCAAGCTTATACTAATGTGAACTGTGAAGACGTAGAATTAACTTATTTACACTGAATAGCAATTCAGTGAATAGCCAGCCTTTTTCACTGTAGTGCTTTCCAGATGTTTGGATTCTGACAACACCATGGTTCAACAACAATCCATAATTCAATACTCATTCACACCCAACTCTTGAGTGTGGGTTATTGTGTTACCTGAACCTGGTCAGTAACTTCCAAAAATAATGAAGGTACAATGGTAGGGATATGAAAAGCACAGAAGATAGAATATGAGTGTGGTGTCCGAAATAAAATAAACTGCATGCATTCATCACAACAACTTTATCCTCATTCCCAACCAAAATCCTCCCATTAAAAATAGCTTAATAGAGGAAAATAACCATTTTCAAAACATGCTCAGTTTTTTTACCAGACTCCAGTTAGACAGCCGCTATTCAGAAAGCATCACTATAGCATAGATCTGAGGCTATCAAGAATAGTCATCAATTCAGAATATGAAGTAGCAAACCACAGTCATTTTGATAGGTAAGCATGGATAAAACAAGCCTCTGGCAGTGATATGTACTACTATACTTTTAATTTCATAAATGTTTCCATTTTCAGAAGTGCTTTGTTTAATCGAGGGGAGAGTTTCATGCCTCCAGTGTATCTAAACCTCTGAACTTGGAGGGTTATATGTATCTAATGTCCAGAATAACATTTTTTTATCTTATGCATTTTATCTAAGCAGCCATTTTCAGACATCAGGATAAACCACCAGAGAAGAAGTGGAGCACCAACAGGAATTGGCATAAATAGTCCTAGCCACCTTCACCCCCGCCCCCCCAGTCTCCACCATGCTGCTTTCCAATCTCTCCAAGTCCCAGCTGCAACCTGGGAAATGGGGAACTGGTACAATTCTTTCCACACTGACTGTGAGCGAGGTGGGGCAGGAGCTTGGCCTTTGGAGTCCCAACTCCAAGGTCACAGGATTTTGAATAATCTTATGTTCTCCAAGACAATGTTGGGAGGCTATGGGATTGCTCCTAATTACCAACATTAGGCATGAACAAGATTCTGATGTAAGCTGAGCTGAATTAAAAACAGAACAGGCACTTATAAAGGTGCCACAGCACACTGATAAAAACATAGGGATTGCATGAAGAAAATCAATCCTCAATGGCTTCAGTTAAATGGTGCCAATTAAAGCCAATTAAAAACAAAAACAAAGAAAAGCTCTATCACCAGGAAACTATACTTCCATTTATCATGCCAATAGTTCAGTTCTACAAGTTGCACTTATTCATAAGTCTTTCAAGATATTCAATAGTTTTAATGGCTAATGTATATGATCTTTATTCAATTTCAGCCCTAATCCATTTATTAATCTTACGTATATTGCTTACCTATATAAGTGGCCATTGTCCTCAAAATCTTCTTTGCCCCATCTTCCTTTGATATCTTCAATGACATGATTCTTCAGAAACTTTTTAAGGAGCTGGATTGTTTGAGCACGGGTAACCTCTGGGCTAAAGTTCTGATTGTGCCTTAGTAGTCTGTGCAACCAGTCTATTGCCTCCGAAGCTGTGAAGCAGCGCTCATAGCTTTTGAAGTGACAACGATGCTTCCGTATGGGCATTCCATCCCGAAAGAGCTCAACGGTCTCATTCCACTGAGATGAAATCAGAAGCAGTATAAAAACCTTAGTGCAAGTACAAATGTGTGCTTGTTTGCCAGCATCTTCCAAGTAGGACAGCAGGGGCAGGTGAGCACGTGAAGAAACATAAATCTAAATCAGGAAAATTAAGTGTTCTCATGCTTGGAGGTTTTGTCCTGGACACAGAAGCTTTTTTTTCCCTTTTCCACAAAAGTTAATCACAAGAATTCACCCCCAAAAGTAGAAACTAGCAATTTATATTTCAGCCTGCAACTACTCCAGTAGGCTACTCCAGCAACTACTCCAGTAGGCCCGGAAGAACCTTTTCTGATAGGGTCATCAATAGAGGCAATAATGTTTCAATTGCAGTTGCAAGATCCACTGGTAGCAGAGAGGGCCTTGTCAGTGCCTGCACCCAGATTTTGGAATTTCAGGGCCAATATCAATGCCCCACCTTCCTGGATTATTTTCCACCACAATGCAATAACTGATTCTTTTAGGACAACCCTTGGTATTTTGTGATTTTACAGACTTGTTGAGTCTCATGGTTTTCTCTTTTTAAGAAAAGATTAAGTAGAAATAAAAGGTGCGTGAAGGGTACCTAGCAAAAACTATTTTAAATTGAGAAAGGGTTCAGGATTGGTACCAGGAACTGTTCTGTTCAACTTTCAAGTGCCCTTTTCTATCCTTAAAAATATTATCCCATATTAACAACAAACTGTTCTTCTGCGTGTTAATTAGAAAGACTGCATTTCAAACTTATTCCTTAGTGTACTTTTCTATTTGTAAGAAGTTTGTGTTGTTCTTTTACAGAGGGTAACACTGATTTATTTTCCATATGTATAGAGCAGTGCAGCCATCGCATTCACATACTTACTTTTGAAGACAGGGACACTCCAAGTATATAAATGTATGTGTGAGCAAAAAATGTAATTTATTTTTGGTGGTGGTGGACACCTATCCACAATTAACTAGCTTTCAGTTTCAAAATTCAGGTATCCTGAGTCCAACCTCTGGCTCAAACTTCTCCACAGCCGTCTTCCACATGGTTTTGGCTGTACTTTGCAACAGTTCAAGCCACTGTGGTCAATGATCAAGGCTGATAAGGTCTGTAGTTCAAAATATCTGGAGAGACACTACCAGGTTACCTGTCAACTCAGCTAGTGCCCCAATTCTGGGAGATTTGAACATCCAATTGCATAGAAGGGACAACAGCATCAGCAGAGAATGTGCTTTGCAATGCACAAGGTCTTAGGTTAAATTCCCAGCAAAAATGGTTGGAAAGACAAGGATACGGAAGACCCCTTCCTGCATGAGACCACAGATCATTAAAACTTCTAGAAAAGCTTGAGCCCCCAGAATGCAGACACGGTCCCTCTTACCAGTCGGGTTGCTCGGTAGGGCCCAGGTCCTACAAGTCGAGGCTCCATCGGTCGCCAGGAAAAAGCAACACTCACCAAGCCCGTTTCCACGGATACCGAAAGACACCACACATAACGCCTTCGGAGAAAATTTTTTGAATCGGAGAGCAAGGACTCCTGATTGGGCTGAGGTGTGATCACGTGAAACGTCGGAAGCAGCGGATTGGAGGCTGCTTCCTCTTACTAAAAAAAGAAAAGCCATCGCTATCACTCGTTCTCCCTGCCCCTCAAGAAAATGATTGGCCGCCGCCGAGTTTGTTTTACATAGCTGCCTATAACAACCAATGAAGCTTTTCTTGCTTACTCTTGTCGCTTGGATACAGGAGGCGGAGGGAGGATAGAGAAGTATCCGCGTTCTGCGGTTGAGGCGGCGGAGAGTGTTGCGCCGCTCAAGTCTTCCCCGAGCCAGTGGTTAATGGGACTTTTTTGTCCTGCGGTGGTGAGGCCGCCGGTTGGAAAAAGGCTGCCGGCCTGCAGTAGGTGAAACGCATTCTTGTGCGGACTTTGCTGCGCTACGACCAAGGTCAACGAGGTACAAGTAGCCAGGGCTTGTTCCTCCTCGCCTACCTTTCTTTTACTTTGGCACCTCCCGGCTGCATTGAACTCCCACCACGCCACTCTTGGTCGGGGATGATGAGAGTTGCGGTCCAACACAACTGGAGGGCGCTTGGTTGCAGGAAACGGTGCTTTTTATACGAAGTTAAGCCCACGACATTGACCCCGCTAGCCAGGCTCCAGGTTTCCAGGCTCTACCAGGGTTTAAACTCGGAGCTCTTTGCATCGGAAGCATGTGCTGCACCAGAGATAGAACCCATCCTGCACAGCTGCCGCTCAGGGCTATGGGGCAGCTTCCCCCAAGTTGTGCTGGACCCGCCTCCACCCCATCAAGGTGATGGGGGCGGTCAGGAGGTTGTGGTCCCAACGCACCTGGACAGCAACAGTTAGGAACAGCTGATCTAAGGCCTATTCATAGGAGAAAACGGTGAAAAGTTGGAGTAGGCAGGTATATTTAAATATATTTTTGCAAACCATTTTAGCAAAGTTGAACAAGTGGAAATACCGGTCTATAAACCAAATCATCCCACTTGCTGTGTTATGCCCCGGTTCCTCAAACCTAAAATTGGCTCCTTACTTTGAATACACCATTAAGTGTCCTATTTCTATAATATTGCAGTGATTCCAAGGCCATTTTTATCAGGCAGTGATGTCAAATATTTTTCCACTGTACTTAAGTGATCAAGAAACAAGATTGTGCACCAGTTTTGAACACAATGTGTAGCCCCATGGTAGGTGTTTGTGCCCAGTGGGCAAATCCACTGACAAGTCAGCAAGGTTCTGGTTCAGCAATAGCAATCGGGCATCCTTCTCCATGTTCCATTAAGTTGCTTAAATGAAGAAAACCAAGAGTGAGTTTTTCTAGACCACTGTGAGCACCATCCTTGGCACTGAAACTGAAGCAAAAAAGTACCATCTTCCTTAATTCTGAGTATATGTCACCACCATTCCCCTATTTTGCATCTGGAATCAGTTGGGTGATTTTTGGGTTCCCATAAAACAGTCAGTCCTGCAGGCTTGAAGACATGCCCTAATGGTTAATATTCTGATTATACTGTAAACTTGGGAGTGCTTCCAGAGGGGTTTCTAGTACTACTCAAAAGGTAGTATTGAAGCTATTCATCAGCATTTTCTTCTTGTTTTGTTCGGATAAGAAACAGGAAGAAACAGCAGAAAAAACATAGTTATAAATGTAAGATGTCATTTGCTCTCCTGTAAAATTGCACAAATGAAGCAGTGCAATTGTACAATGCAACCATTGTCGAGAGGTATGTTAGGTGTGTGTGCCACTCAGTGCTATGGGGCAAACAGTGAAATATGTGTGCATTGCACAGCAGCCTTTATTGTCCAAACAAGCGATACAAATGTAACCCTGTAATCACACCTTTAAATAGCCCACTCCTTCATACTCTATGACACTTTAAAAATCCACAAAATTTTACAGATTCTATCTTACAGATTTAAGAATCATAGCCTTTGTTATGGTAGTTCATATAAAACACATTAAAGTTGACAGTAACTGTATTAACAAAACTGTTTATTCATTTATCACTTATGAAATTGTATTACATTTCAGTTAAAAGAAGTGCTGCCAGGTCATGGGTTGAGTGCTGCCTATTCAATGTTTTGAATTCAGTGTTTAGTTCAGAATTGATTGAGTTTCTGAGCATGTGCAGTCTATATCTAAATAATGCTATTTCTGTGCATGTGCTGAGTTGTTGGATTAACTGCTTTCTTGCTCATGGTACACGGTGATCTCTTATTCTCGTTGGATCAGATCTGGGTCATCATTGTTTTTACCATACTTTATTTTGTTCAGTGAGTAAACGTGCTGTCAGTGGGTGGAGTGACTTTTTGGAAGGCCGTGGAAGGCAGTAGGTACTGTGGTAGCACAAGTCATCATGATACATCTCCAAGCTCCATCTCCCAAGAAGCATTCTGACATTCACAAAAGCTTATTTCCATGGAACAAGAGTTTTAAAGAAGAATTCTTAGAGCACTGACAGAGGAGTAAGTTCACTATATTCCAAAGAAACAACAAATTCATCCAGGTAAGTTCACCCTTCACTATTAAAAGCAGCTTACTGACCAAATAACTTTTGACATCAGTCGAAACAAGTATGTCTGTCAGTGATCAAATGTACTTTTGTATACTTATTAGACACACTTCATTTCCATATACATATTTGTGTACATCTCTTTGGGTGCAATCCTATGGCTGCTAGACACATCTTAGAAAGCCACTAGAAAATCTGGAGCCACAGCCCTGATCTGGAGAAACACTCCAAGCCAGGGAAGGAACAAAGCTCTGCCAGGATGTAAGGAGTCCTATCATTGCTTCAGCCCCTCCTCCTTGGAAGGGAAGCATGGGTGAGAGAAACAGAGGCAATCCTCACTTCCATGCTACTTTGCCCTCCACGGGATGCCTTTAAGCCTCCGGATTTGAAGGATTGCAGGCAGCCATATTGGATGGGATCCTAAGAGTGCCGCCAAGTATTCATTTCTTCGATAAAAAGAAAAAACATCAAAGATATGTACACTGTTGCTTAAAAACTGTGGGTCAGTGTCTCTTAATCAGTAGTTTTACTTTCCTCCTCTCATATCGAGATTAAATACCAAATAATTTATAATAAAAATACACAGTTGATGAGGTTGGGGGGTTTATGAGAACCATATACAAAACATCCAGTCTGCTGTGCACTTATGCATATTGATTGTCAAGTAGTGCAGGTCCAAAAATGTGTTTGTGGCAGAGGGCTTCATTCAGACTTGTTCTTGTCAATGCCATTTTTCATATGCTTTGGGAGTCTTTGGCCTTTAGTGTAAGCAACATACCAAAAATGTAGAAACAGGATTAAAAACAAAACGCCATACAGCCAGATGATAAACATGAAGACTGGATACTGATATGGGCAATTATCCATGGTGTAAATTTGCCCTATATGGACAGTCACTATAATGAACTGGACCTAGAATGGACAAGTACAAGAAATCATTATAGGTTTACTTAAATTCAAACACAGAAGGAAACATGCAGAATTGAGAAGGTTCTTAAGGTGGATACTTCGTACCAAGAAGTAAAAACAGTTGCAAATAATACCAGGTTATTCTTACACATTGTTCAGCTCCCATGGGAAGCTACTGGAACTGCCAATCATTTTGCTTTGCTTAGGGTACAAATCATGTGGCCAGCAGACACTGTCTGGCCAGCAAGGGGAAAATCAGGGTCCCAACTCCAACCTTGGAAAAGGACTCTGGCTTCAGAATGCCCTCTCTCCACCCACACAGTGGGGTGGTTCTTTCCATGCTGGCTGCAGGTCCAAAGTCAGACTTTGGAACTGGTACTGGGGGGAGGGCATTCGGGGGGGGGGGGGCAGGGAAGGGAGAAGTGAGGCATTGCTATCCTACAAGAAAGTTGGAAACATCTGCAGCTCCTCCCTTCACAAGCTCTTGTAAAGCACTTAAGATACCCCAAATCAAATGTTCTGGGGGAGAAGCAAGCACTCACTCCTCCTGTCCTACATGGGGTGCTCATAATCTTCTGTGTTTAGATGGCTGCAGGGAGCCACATTACATTGTACTTTCCATTTAAATCAGAAAAGCTAGAAAGTAATCCTTTCTCCTCTAAGTTGAATGTGTTTCTATTGTTGGCCATCTTTCAAAAATTAAATAAGGCAGAATATTTAAGAAAGAGAATGTATTAGTACATGAAGGAACATGCACAAATAACCAAAAGAACAAGATTGAATTCTTTCGGATCCTGTGTGCAGAAATGTTTTAAACAATTGGGTGCCAGATTTAAGTTATCCCTCTCTTCAAGAATCTGTGCCAAATATGGTTAATGTCTGAGGGCAGGCCTACTTCACGTTACCAAATCCCTGTAAAGAAAATGTATGTACACATTTACAAATACAAATGGGCTAGTGGGAAAAGCAGAATAAAGACCATATTTAATAAACAGTAGTGGGATTTTTTTGTGTTACTGGACCTGGAGGTCTTTAGTCTGCTTCTCAGAACAAGAACAGATTGGTTCTGGTAATTTTGAACCATGTGTAACACCTTTAATTACACATGTTGTACACTTTTTATTTATCGTTGCCCTTTATATTTTAGCAGCACAACTGGCAGTTGTGTCACAGATACAATGGAAGCCACCATCCCTAAATTTCAACCCCAACTGCAATATTGCCTATTTCTTTGCGCATTCTGAAATAGCCCTATATAAATAGTAAAAGTTTTATCTTACATCCACTATCCACACTGTACTTCATAAAAGTAGGCTTCTTCTAGCACTAGAAAAAGGCTGCCTTTCTCTAGCACTGGGAAAAAGACACAGAGCCTAGGAAGGAATGTCTAATGGAGAGTTGCCATCCCTGAGTTACAATTTCAGATCTGTAGAGATTACAAAGTGGGGGGAACAGTCAGGGAGTAAGAAGGCATAAAATATATTCTGCTTGCTTACCATCCCTTAAGCAAGTCTGTTCATACTGTATAGGTCTGAGACTCACACAGCTGAATCCACCTGTTTTTCCCCAAATACCCTTTCTGAGGGTTACTTACCAGTTGTATAGTTGTCATATACTTTTTCCACCACAAGTACTTATGATAGGCTGGTCCCAATGTACAGAGTCCATAATACATATACATGATCACATGGACGATGCAGTTCACCATACCATGGAATGTTCCTAAGCCACCTGTTGGAAGGCAGGAAAAGATCACGTTTACATCAGCCATGCACGTATCCAATATACTGATAATCCAAAGCATGTCACCATTAAGACAAAACAGAATGACAAAAAAAAACCCAGAACAAAACTTGAGGCTACCTCAGATAATATAGGAATCAGTTCCTATATTACCAAAGTGGTACAGCAACCATTAACAAAAATACTTCTTCGTGTCAGAAGCACCATGTGAATGCAGTTTTAAAAAAAGTATGGGTTTTGTCAGGTACATTGGTGCTATTGGTTGCAAAGTCTGCACATCAGCTCTGCACCCCGGGGAGGTGAGGTCTGTTCATGTAAAGTATTCCACAGAGAAGCCATATCAGGGATGGGCAGAAGTTAGATTTGCATCTACTGGTAGTGAAACCTGGCAGTTTGCAATAGGCAAAGATTTTAGGCCCCAAACTGTTTAAAAATAGCTACAATAAAGTGATTCTCCCCATCAGTAAGGCTGCCACCACAACATTAAGTCCCTTAAATTACACTGCTGAAATGCAGGAAGCTTACAGAAAACAAGTGGGTTTTTGTGTGGAAGGGTGATGAGCTCTGGCATACAAAACAAATTCCTGGGCTCAGAATGCTCTAATTGTATGTGTGTTATACCAGGATCTAGTTGGTGGGTTCTAGACTGCGCTCTGCCCACAACTCCACGTGCACTGACAGCTACAGACCCCCTCCATCATGCACAAAGATGTATCAGAAAATAATGGTCATACGTATATTCAAGCCTTTTATCCAAGCATTAGCAGTATTGTATTTCATTGTGTTGTAAGCCGCCCCGAGGCTTCAGCAAGGGGCGGCATAGAAATGTTCTAACAACAACAACAACAACAACATCTGCAGACTTTCAGCTTTAGCAAGCTCTACACACACACACACACACACACGAACTTAGTGAAAATAATCAGCAGACTATGGAAACAGGAGCTTCTAGTTGAAAAAAGCAGGTGTATTCATGTAACATTTCCTATTCATCTGCTGAGAAAGTTTTAGGGAGGGAGTCCAAGGATCTCCCAGCTTAGAAGATCTAGGGCCCATGCACAGGTGGGCTTCCTGAAACTGTCCATAGGCAGGTAGCTGCTAAGGAGAGGGCCTCTTCAGAAGTGGGACACCAGTGGTAGTTCCCCCAGGGAGGCTCATTTCGAACCAACACTGCAGTCTTTTGTGGAGCTGTTGAAGGCTTTATTTTCCCTGGCTTTTTACTCTTTTGGGATTTTTTTACATGTAGTTCTTTTTCCCCACATCTTTGTATTAACACTGGCCTGTCACCCTGGTTTTTAATTTGCTTTTATTGTATTATATTTTAAACATAAGGTTTTTAAGTTATGCTTTCATGTGTTAATAGTATATTATGGTCTGCAGTTTTGTTTTGTGAGCTGCCCAGAAAGTTATGGCTATTGGGAAGTATTACAAATGCAACAAACAAATAAATCCACTTTAGACCTTTGCACAATGGATTATACACAGCATTATATATGGCTGAAGAGCAATTGTGCACATGTATTTGGAGGTGTAGGCTGGAAGGTTTACTATTACGCAGTTCTATGGTCCAGCTGTAAATCCTTAAAACATTACATCCAATACACCCACACAGTGTGAAGACAGAAACTCAGCCTTTTCTTTTTGATCTGATGTGAAGACTTTAATTAAGTTACCCATCAATCTCAAGAATAATCATCTACAGTATTGCAAAACTAGAGTACAGGTGTTAAACAGTTGTATCCACATGAAGTTAATTTAGGAAGAATGTCCAAATCATTCAAGCAGGAAAGCCTACCAGATAAATCATGCGTAGTGCCTGAAATTCAAGGATATTGTTCCTCACACCCTCATCCCAACTGTGACTTTGATCAAAACTTCCAATTTAAGGATCTAAGTATTAGTGGTACCACAGGGTTATTCATGAGCAATGGCTTGAAACAATAATGGCTGAATTATGCAACGCCAAAGAAAGAGACTCCCATTTCATCATTTCAAGATTATTTGTTAGTCTCCCTTTGTTAAGTTTGTGTCGTAAGACTTTCTTGGTTGGAAGCCTATAAAATCCAGGAAGCAAGTAAGACATGAATTCCATGGAAGACTCATTCCTCCTGCAAAACCTCTTGCAACTAAGTGCACAAAAAAGAGAACAATCCTGACTTTTGGAGAACTTGATTAAACTATTTAAAATTTTAGTAGGTTTTAGATTTTTGCTTTATGGTTAATAGTTATGTGCAGTCTTTTTTATCATTTGGGTTTAAAAAATAGACCTAGAGTTTTTGAAGTCCCTGCATCTTTAAACAGAGAAAAGTACATTAACAAGAAGCTTCAAAATGCTAATTAATCCATGGGCATTTCACTCCAAAATCATTCATTCCCGCCAGTTCATTAGGAACAGCCGCAATAGCTCATAAAAATTATACTACTCTGAGTAAATGTTAAGAGCCATAAAAAGATGGTTAATTTATAGTATTTAAAGGCAAGTATTAAATGGGATGAAATACTTGGTGACTCTTTCAAGAGATTATCAACCACTGGAAATATTTAATTGGTTGAAAAGTAGTACAGCCTTGCAAAGATGATGAAACACACAACTGTCAGCTCAACTAAAAGGATGACAAAAACACTTCACATACACTTTCTGGGGCGAAGGTAGCTGGATCGCTTGATTGGCTGAGGCAATACTCAGACATTGGTCCTGGTATTGATATCCCTAGCTTTGGAGGAGGGAACACAGCCCACACCCACACCCTGGAGTAAACATGCATGGAGTAGCACACTTGCTGCAGAGTCCTTGTATTTATTTATTCTTTAAGTGACACAGAAAAAGTAACTCTACCTCTTTAGCAAGTGAATACATACATACATACATACATACATACATACATATATTTACAATCTAGGTAGGGGTTTTCTTTTCACTATTTTTACTGTATAAGACCTTACTGTGTATTCTGCTTTGATAAGGCACTTAACCCTGAAAGCTGGTCTAAAAATATTTTACAAATGCACACACATTCTCCTGCATTTTCCCACTGCTTCTGCGGACAGGATGGTTGTACAATGCCTTCAACCTGTAGGCACTGGGACCCTTCGTGGGAAACATTTGATACGCACAAAAAATACAGAGAAGGGCAACAAAAATGATCAGGGAGCTGAAGCCGCTCCCCACTGACGAACAACTACAATAACTGAGACTATTCAGCTTAGAAAAAAGGTGAGTAAGGGAGCCACGATAAAGGTATTTACAATAATGCATGGTATGGAGAAAATAGGGGGATATATTTTTCTCCCTCTCCCGTAACATTTGAACCTGAGTTGATTGGGAGGAGGATTAGGGCAGTCCTGCTTCACTCAGCATATAGCTAAACTATGGAATTTGCTGCCCTGGGAAATGGTGATGTCTGCCAATCCGGATGGCTTTAAAAAGGGATTACTGGACAACTTCATGAGGAAGGCATCTATTAGTGGCTACTAACCTTACTGGCTATGAGGTACCTCCTTCAGCAGGGGTGGCCTATCTCCATACACCAGCTGACCAGGAGCTTGGGCAGGAGGAGGCCTTGCACCCATCCTGCTTGGAGGATCCTGTGGGCAGCTGGTTCGCCACTTGTACTCGTATATGGAGCGCTGGACTAGATGGACCTTGGGTCTGATCCGGCATGGCCTTTCTTACATTCTTATGTAAGACTTCCTAAAATAGTTGTAGATTTTTTTAAGACTAATTCCTATTTGTTAAAGTTGCATCCAGACAGAAAGGGAAGGAGGAACATGCCCATTTAAAAACTGCCTTAGGTTTTGAACGCGTGAATACCTGGAGCAAATTTGACTCCGAACCACCAGGTCCAAGGCATAATTGTGTGATGAAAGACATGGAGGAATGTCACTTGTTCATTCTTTTTTCGGAGGATAAAGAAGACCTGAAATAATTTAAATAGCTCTTACTGCAAGTCACATATTTTAAAAATTAGAATGTTACTTCAAGGCCCATTTTAAAATTAGCTGCATGCACTGGAAAATTGCCATTAAGAGCTCATTAAAAAAAATCATGGATTTCTTTTTACATATGAAGCATGAGGACAACATAAAGAGTTACTAAGAATTTATAAAAGCCTTATGAATTTCCACAAACAGCTCTTAAGCAGTCAGATTCATAAAACTGGAAGACAAGAAAGAAGAAAAAATTAGGGAAAACAGGAAAGTAAAAGGTTTTCCCACACCCTGACTGCTTCAATCTCATTTCCATGTGGAAAGTATATATACATTCAGTGAAATTAACATTGTCATTCTTAAATAAATAGTAGAAATAAGCATTTCTTACAGTGAAAAAATATTTAATACAGTTAAATATTTAGTTTGCTATTCTATTTCTTTGATATTAAATTCTGTAATCATACTTACAGTGTCTAGCAGTTCAATAAATTTGGAAAAATAATACATCCAGCAAACACGGACCATCTGCAGAGAACAAAAATATTAATTCAGCACAATACTTAAATTTGTTTTATTTTCTTAAAACTGTGTAGCCTGCCTTTAAGGATAGAACCTTATATATAAACTCATTTTGTTCCAATTCTTTGGAGGTCTCCATGCTATACTATCAAACGTTTGTATAGCACATTTGCACAAGAGTCTCAATACAGCTACAAGGGGGGAAATCCATGGAAACAGTTCCAACAAATATGTTAGAGAACACATGTCACACATCTCAGTGGAAGAGAGCTGAACACTGATAAAATAGTTAAATGGCTGACAGCATATCACGCACAATTCTTTTGTTGTGAAAAAATATTAATGGGTCACTAGTTTTTAGTACATTCATTTTCTCTGAAGTTTAAACAAGGTAAGGGAAAACATGCTACTGCCTTGAAATTTTACAAGTATTCCAATACAATTTTCTACAAAATATACATTTAAATTAAATGCTTTAATTTTTCTCATATGCTATTAGGTCAAATATTTGTGGTGTATTGGGGAAAAAACAGAGGGAACTTTTTAGTTTGTTTACTAAATACAAGTAAAATGAAGATGCTCAGTTGGATCACTCTCTGGATTAGGTCTGCCTTCCCCCACTTGGTGTTTTCCACATGTGTTGGATAGGCTGGGAGTTCTAGGGGCTGCTGTCTAGAGGATGCTAGGCTGCAGAAGGCTCCCCTCAGGCAACGAGTTTTTATCATTCATCCATTCATTACTACTACTAAACTTACTTTAAAAATACATAGAAAAATTTTCTCCTGGCATCACTGGCAATGGGAAACTAAAAGCCCCCTATGCATGTAAGTAAAGTGCCTGCTGGATTGGTGCCCATGCCTGTCAAGGATGGTCTTTGCATTATGCACGCATCCACATATGCATTTACAACCCTTCTCATACAGTCAAATGAGCACAAACATTCCTGGGATTTAATGCACCACAACTCACCCTTAAAGCCATGGGTGACCAGGAGTAATCAACTAGGTCACAGCGAAAGGAATAGCCTGTAGCCCAGCCTGACATGAGGAACTACAAAAGAGAAAGGTTTAATTAAACATATTGGCATAATTACTGCCCTGACGAGATGGACTGTGCACCTTTTATTGTGTCTCTTGTACTGGTATGACAGCTGAAGCTGAGTGCCATACCTACTATTAAAACCCAATTTGTGAAGTGCAGTACAGGTCCCCTAAAGGAGAAGAAGATACCAGAGGAGAAGGAAGCTCAAAAGAAAGGAAAGACTAGAAAACTGAAAAAGGAATGAAATGGTATTATAACAGGAGTTGGAAAGAAAGACTGGAGAGGCAGGCAGGAACCAAGCTGGAGGAAAAGTGTACTTTTCTAGAAATGAAGACATCATTAAGGTTCCTTCATTCATAACTGCAACCCCAAATAGCACAAAAGGAGACTGTGCTAGCCCAGTCTAGAGGTCCCTCTTTCCTCTTAGCACAGAGGGTAGATTCCTGATGAACAGCATGTGTGCGGCATCCTATTTTCTGACACAGGTTGTCTTTGCTAGATCAAGGCAACTCCACCCAAGTCTAGAACAACATAGTTGCTTAAGCATTTGATGCTCTTTAAGAAGTCTTCTCCCTCCAACTGTGTTAGACAGACATGGATGTTCAAGCATCTTTTCCTGGCTTGGGACTGGGCTGGAATCCAAATTCTTAGCAATGCCATTTTCATAGATAGTTCTAAATCCAAGTTAACTAGTTTCCCTCTCTTTATCCAATTTATACAAGCAAAAAATGGAAACTCTTTGGCTACACATTTAATAGTGCTATTTACAAATGGAATTAACACTACCATCTTCTCCACAGGTCAAAATGAAACTTGCAATAAAAACTAAACTCCAAATACCTAAATGGAAGATCAGGCTTCTTTCTAGACAGCTTTAATTCCATCTTCCCAGGGCTGTAAACAGATGCTTGTCTAATCACCTTGACAGTAAAGGGGTTACCTCCAAACAATCAAGCAGGAGGATTAATTTTATTTTATTTGTATCCTGCATTTCAGCCTGGAAAATAGAACTCATGGCTTGGCATGGCAGGGAATATGAACTGGAAGAGAAGTATTTTTCTTACAGCCATCTCTGCCACACATTATTAAACATTATTAAACAAAGGTCCATGGACAAGCTACTAAATATTTTTGCAGGTTTACAACATTTGTAGATGCACTTCAAAGTGTGTATTATCATGAGATCCATTTCAGCAGGACAGCCCTTTCTCAAAATAGCAGGTTACAAAAAAGGGCATTACAAAAGAAAGTTATACTTGCATTGAACAAATAAAAAGTATCCTGGCTAAAAGAACAGACAAGACAATTCAGAAATCAAATATTGTTGTTATCTTCATCATCCACACACTCGCCCCAATAAAACAAAGCAAAACTGCAGAAGGCACTTTACAGTGCTATAACTCGGTGGCAGAAGGATAGCCTGATTCAATATGTTAGGCAATCTTACTTATTTTGGACAAGATGGATAGCTGCATCATTCCAGAGGCAGATGTAAATATATATATTCACTTGCCAATATAGGCAGACATGGGAAATGCATCACCATTCAAGGATTGTACTGGGGAGTGATCAATAGTGGGTCTTAGCATTGTAGGGATCGGTATCCCTCCTAATCATGTGAGAGCCAGTGTGGTATAGTGGTTAAGAGAATGGGACTGGGACTCAGACGATCTGGGTTCTAGTCCCCGCTCGGCCATGGAGCCAACTGGGTGACTTTGGGCCAGTCACAGACTCTCAGCCCAACCTACCTCACAGGGTGGTTGTTGTGGGGATAAGATGGAGGAGGAGAATGATGTAAGCTGCCTTGAGCCCTTTGTAGGAAAAAGGCAGGATATAAATAAATAAATAAATGTATGTATGTATGTATGTAAATACGACGATACTGGAAGCTTCCTGGTCAGGTGTGTCCTGATCCCATGGCATGTGGTGCTGATCAGGAGTGAAAGATGCCTGCCCAAGGCTTGTCCTGATTTCTTCACCCGAAGGAGACTGTTATCCACCCAAGTAGGCTTTCAAATCACCTACTTACAGCACATGTTACAAAACCATGTAAGTATTTGCAGAATATCTTTGCTGATTACCTTTCTCTGTTGCTGAAAGTATACTCCATGTGGAATTAATGCTGTCAGGCCTCATCTGTGAGTAGTGAAAGCAAGGATCTGTGCAACGCACACACACATACACACTCTCTTCAGAAACCAAGGTAGTGCCTTACAGCAGATTCCTCCTTCCCTACTGGTTTGGCACGATGGGGAAATATGTACTTCCAGTTCCCAGTTGGTATAAACTAGAGGGAACATAATTTAAGGCAGTCCTCAAAGTGACAATAAAGTTATTCCTTGGAAGCTGGTAAAAGATTATGGGAATTGTTTTTCTAGAGGGCACCAGGTTGCCTGCCCTTTGTTTACACAGTGACTAGGTTCAGACAACATAACTTATACTCAAAAGCTGTATATGAATTTCACATGGGTTACTGAATTGTGGGTTCTTGACGAACCATTGGCTATCACGTTGTCTGAACCCAGCTGTTCTAAGAAACCATGGCTTGTTCATTACAAACAAGCTATTAAGAGAACTGATGCTTTGTTTTTGAGTTGTGAACTATGATTTGTTGTCTAAACCCTGTCAGCAATCTCTTATTTTTAAAATGTCAACAGTCATATGTTATACTCCTATTCACACATCAGAATCTCGTTAACACTTTAAAAAAAGGAGGAGGAGCCCAATATATGTACCATATTTGCAGAGACTTAACTGGCAGAACTGGGGTGCTAGACTACTTTCAGGTAGTACTTACTTCATAAGTCATATAAATTGAAAGGGCCACTACACCAAAGTTGTAAAATAGCATTATTTGCCTCAAATCAAAAGGTTTTCTGTTCTCCATGAACTTTGGTCCCAGGTTAGTGACAAAATAGATATACGCTGCAATAATTATTGTCTGTGGCAAAGGCGATGACATGAGTGGGTAGCCATCAACTCGAGGATCTGAAAAAGATTTTTAAAAAGTTTCTTAATTCTTTACATTCTGAGCCAATCATAAAGGATATTCTTCACTTTGCTTGCATACAATATTTTAGAGACATTCTTCACCTACTTATCTTAGAAATGTGCTGATGGCACAGCTGCATTTATGCTTTACCTCAGTTTCTTTTTCCACTTACAAAAAAATCTAACACTGTGCAATGAAACAAAAATCTGAATCATGGTAGGGGATAAATAGTTAAAACTCCCTTCTATACATGCCAACCCTGCTTTTGTTTTCAGAAAAAAGGACTCCCACAGATGCTTCTCATTAAATTTTTAAAAGTCTCAAATAATACTTCATGGGACACCTTTAAAGTGAAATGTCCCAAGGCCCTCGAAGCAAAGGGCTAGCCTTCACTGACCTCCTTGAGTACTCAACAAAACGTTCATAAACTTGAAATGGACACATTTGGATCAAATATATATTTCACCTTCCATCCACCTGAGATCTGAGACTTCACCAAACATGCAAACATCTACTTAGGATCAGCACAGCATGTCCAGTACACATCGTTTCCATTTACATGGAATTCACTTCTGTGAGATAGAATTATGGCCACCAATCTGAATGACTCTAAAAAGGGAATAGATAATTCATGGTGACAGGCTATCAGTGGGTAGTAGTCCTAGTGGCTATAGGCAACCTCGGGCACCAGGGTAAGCACTATGCTGATTTACACCAGTTGACAAGAGTGGGAGGGTTCTGTTGTATTCATTGCATCATCTGTGAATTGTTCTGCTTGTGGTTTCCCTGTGGGTGGGTGGCTGGCCACTGTGTGGACAGAAAGGTGGGTGAGATGGACCATTCATTCCACCCAGCATGGCTTTTCTTAGATCCTTCTGACGGACATCTGTGATTCTGCAGGGACTGTACTGGGAGTAGGAGAGGCTGTTGTTCTTGACGTGTTTCCCGGTTACACTGATCTAGACCCATCAGAGGAGGAAGAGGGCCTGGGAAATGATGGCTAAGCAGAAGTGCCGGGTTCCTCAGCAGCGAAGTGCTGTGGCCTTCAGGCTCTGATGTTGGGATTTCTGCAGCCACCTCCCTGCCCACTGTAGGCAATGAAATGCTGGGCCAGACAAACCTTGATCTGATCCAACACTTACCAACTACCTCAATTCCTGAGGTGTTCGCCAGGCATGGCATCTATTTCATTGTCCAGCAACTAATCCTCTAAATCAGCCTTGCCCCATCTTTCACCATCCAGAAGTTTTGAAGTACAACACCAATCACAGCTTGACTGGGTCTGATGGGAGTTTCAGTTTAGACCATTAAGAGGGAGGGCACCAGATTGGGAAAGCCTGCTTTGAACTGAGGCAGATTTAAGTAGAATTTTAAAACATTTGTATGACATGTTATAGTGAGATAAAGCATGATTGACTGAGAAATCCTACCTCAGTGGAAGCCATGCTAACATATTTAAAAAATCATAATATCTAAATTTCAGTTAGAGAACTGGGAGCCCAATCCTATTTGTACAATGGGCCAGATAATCACGAAAAAGAAAGTGTTCCTCTTGAAAAGTAACTAGAGCTGTATTTCAACAAGCAGCTCTGTAAATATTATACGCCAAGATTTAAAAATCTGAACCCAGAATCCAAGTTTTGTGATTTGAATACATTTCAGTCGTTTGGGAAATATGCATAAAATCACCTCAAAGTCTAATTCAGCATTCAACATTATATAGTGTTCTTTTGCACTGTTGCATTGCAGTACATGCAAGACAGAACATTCATGTTTAATCTTAATCAGTGCAGCCTTGTGCAACACGTAATTCAGCAAGGCATGTTTTGCTTGTCAACAAGTACTTAGGAATATGTCAGAACTGGCTTATCTGCATGCAATTTATTGCTTATGAGTGTACAACATGAACCCGGGTGTAGTGCATTACACATCTTACATTCCATCTGCAGTTCTTCCTCTTTAATACCTCACTTACTCCTTCCCATGAAATGTTACTCTTTCATATGCCCACATGTTTCTGAAAAAAATCTGGCTCAGCTACCGCATACAAATGTGCGTGCAAGACACAGAAACAGGCAGATGAATGCTGTTACTCAATGCCCTCCTTGTGCGTTTCTTGAAGGCAGGTGGTTGGCGGGTGAACAGAATGGTGAACTAGATGGACCTCAGTCTGAGCCATCATCTGTTGGTCTTAAATATACATTTCAATAACACATAAGAATCCTTAAAACAGTTCCACCAGATGTGGTGAAAGGACATAACAACTGATGGATGCTATTGGGAATCAAAACTCACCAGCTTTTTTAATCCATTCGTCATAAAGTGATGCTGCCTTCAGTGTCAGATTGTTAAAAGCCATTTTCAAGTAAGATTTGTGATTTCTCCCCTAAGATAAAAGGAACAGGACATTTTATTAGATTCTGAAAAGTAGGCAGGGATTAGTAGTCTTTCTAGAACTGCAGCAGGCATTAAAAGGAAGCAAGCTAGCTGAAAAAGCCTAGATATTAGTTATGGACGGAATATGTCACAGACTGATTATTTGAGATGAGCTTTCTCACTATTAACCAATTTACCACAGTTACAGTGGGTTGGCTCAACTGCACCTTTGAGACTGGTCAGTCCAATGGCATGTACCACTCTACCCATCCTCCCCATTACTGAGATGGCTTCCCTGGTTATAGCCAAAAAGTGGTTAACTCTGAGCTCATCCAGCTTCCAAGCAGCAAGCATGCCACATAAGTAACATATACTTGGTCTTGTCAATCGCAAGAAAATAATTTGACTTGAGCTGCCCTGATGGTAAATTTGACATGAAGCTGGCTCACAAAATTGGCACCAACTTGCAACACAACTATTAACTCAAGTAGCACTCACTGCATTGGTTCTCGACTGCCGTCTCCTCTGACCAAGCATGTCAGGCAGTTAGGTGACTTGGTCCTAGGCTTGTTTCCAAATTCCAAGTACAATTCAAATTATGTAGTGGACAGAAGGCAGAGCATCTTGTTATGGCCTCTTTGTACAAAGTATTGCTCTCCAGAACACAGCCTGCTAATAACTGGCTCCCTACCCTTCCTACCCGCAGCCCCAAAAATGTCCTTATTTACCACATTTCTCAAAATGTGTAAAGTAACTACATAGAAATACATATACCAGGGAAGGTTATGTCCCTCTAATAACATGCTACCTGGGTGCCTTAAAGAGAGAATCTAAAATAGGGAGGCTTCCTCCATTGGTTCAGTTGGTGTCAATTAGTACTTGAGTTCTCTTCATCTCAGAATGATCCTGCAGTAACCATGGTACCTAAATAATGCCAATTTTCTTTCTGTTGTATCATGTCTATTAGATTGCAAGCTATTATTGCAAAATGCCTTGAGTGCGTTAGCAGAAAATTGAATAATTACACAACCTCACTTATCCCAGCTAATCAGGTTGACTTCAGTCAGAAGGTACATCAGGAGGCAAAGTACCCGGAGAAGGGCTTTCTCTGCGGTGGTGCCCCATCTATGGAATGCGCTCCACAGAGAGGTCTGCCTGGCGCCGTCATTATTTGTTTTTTGGCGCCAGGCTAAGACCTTTTTATTTCAACAATATTTTAACAATGCTTAATATCTATAGGTTTTACTTATGCAGCCAGGGTGTTTCCGGGTTTTAACTGTATTTGTATCATGTTTATTTATGTGAGCCATCCTGAGGCTATAAGCGATGGAACGGCATACAAAAACTCTAAATAAATAAATGTGTTCTTTAGAATTTATTATTATAAAGTCAACTTTTGTTCCAAGCAACAATAGTGAAAGTGGCACCAACTGTTTTTCTACTCTGCTACACTCAAGGGAGGATCTTTTAAGCAACAGGACTAGGATTTCAATGGTCTGTTTTGAAACTGTTCCAGATGTAATGAAAAAGCTTTTTGGGGGGTGGAATTACTTTGCTGCTTTATCATCACTATGTATTTCCATTTATTTTATAACTTGTAATGCTCTGAGTGTTGCATCGACTCATGAATATTTCATTTTCAGCACACTCAATATGAAACTGCATAATTACCTGGGCTAAAGAATGCTCTAAACATTGGCAAACGCCCACAATGCAATTCAATGAGATCATAGCTAAATAAAGTCATAATCATTTCAGAAAACAACCTCTTTAGGGTACAATCCTATCTCAATTTGAAGGCTCACCATCATCCAATGCAAAGCAGGATGCCCTGCATGTTTGCAGGTATGTAAACAGATATTTTCTGCGGTCTCTTGAAGGTGTCTCAAACATGGAGGGAAGGAGGCTGAAGCATCTTCAAAATACTTGGTATCCTGGCTACCCCAATTTCCTCCCCTTTCCACTTCTAAATGCCCCCCTCTCTTTTAGGTCACTTTCCTGACCCTGGAGAGCTGACAACATGGTCTTTCTGTACCTGCTGTGAGACTGTAAATAGCAGCTATATTCCACCCTTCCTCTGAGAAGATGAAGAATAACACAGATGGCCTCCCAACAGCATCTTGAGATAAATTAATGCAGCCCTCTCCAACCTGGAGTCCTCCTGATTATCGGACTACAGCTCCCATCATTCTCCAGCCTGAATGGCCATATGGGAGAAGACCCGGCTGGGGAAGAATGAATTAATGGAAGAGAAATGAGAAGACCTCAGAGGGAACTAGGAGATGTTTTATTATGAAGAAAGAGTGTAAACACAATATATTTCTAGCTAAAACTCTTCTTATTTGATTGGTTACAAATTTAGCTTTATGCTATCTTCCTGACGCAGGATTACTTGACAAGTTTCATAGGAGTGGTTGGACAGTAATGGAAATTATTGGTGATTCCCAGACCTGCTGCCACAAACCATAAACACATATTCCAATAGAGAGAAGTGTTCCCCCCCTGCCCCGGAAAGTCAGAAGTTCCATGTCTTTGCAGGACCATGCGCAGCTTCACATGAGATGTCAATTAAGAAGGGTTGAGTGAGATAGAAGAATAGACAGGTGACTCATTCTTCCCATCCTACAACATCTACCACCATTGTGAAAAAGTCCACAACTCAAATTATTTCCTACACATAACCAGACCTTATAATAAAGTGGACACAAGTGGGACCCAGTATGGAAGAATATTCAAAACATTCCTCAGATGTTTGGGCTTACAGTTGATGGCAGTACAATATCCAATGCTGATCCGATTCAAGGCTTTGGTGATCACCTATAAAGCCCTTAACGGCTTGGGACATGGATACCTAAAGGAACGCCTGCTTCCATATTTGCCCTCCCGCTCCGAGATCAGCAGCAGAGGCCCTCCTCCGGGAGCCCTCCGGGAGAGACATCAGGAGGCAAAGTACCCGGAGGAGGTGGCGCCCTGCCTATGGAATGACGGGTGCGGTGATGCCCCGCCTACGGAATGAGCTCCCCAGAAAGGTCCGCCTGGGGCCGTCATTATTTGTTTTTCAGCGCCAGGCTAAGAACTTTTTTTTCAAATGATATTTTAACAATGTTTAATATCTATAGGTTTTAATTGTGCAACCAGGGTGTTTCTGGGTTTTAACTGCATTTGTATTATGTTTATTTAAGTGAGCCATCCTGAGGCTATATAGCAAGGGGACGGCATTACTATTGATAGACACGTAAGTAAATCAAAGATATATGGGGGGCTTATGCACCATTTATATAATGGTGCTGTGCAAAGTGAAATAAAATCTAAATTCAAGTCTGCTTATGCATTTTGTAGGGAGTTAATAGGGCTACCCAACTAAACAAAAAAGTAGGATTTCTATCAGCATTCAACAAAACCACACAAGAATTGCAATTTACCAGTATATGTTGTATGAAATTAGTACATTAATAATTGGAAAACATTTATATAAGCAGTTGAGACACATTATGCACATCAAACTACAGAGGAAATAAATATACCAATGTATATACATCAACAGCATCAGCCAAGTAATTACACAGGTAATCAATAGTTGCAATCCATTTATATCACCTTCATCAACAGAACCCATGTACTGCCTGGCACCATTACTCTTCTATGGGGTGGTTGGCTTCTGGAGCACAAGTACATTCCAAAGAAAAAGAGAGTGGGAGAAAATTAAACGATCACTTTTAGTATGATATTGACATTTTTTCAAAATATACCTGACTACTTGGCTTTAGTTAATTGACCAGCAGACCGCTGACAATTTATCATGCTGAGGGAGTACTTGTCATATTGGATTTTGCAAGTCTTCTGACATAGGAGTATCAGGAGCCCCAGATCTGAAATCCTTTGATATCGGAGCTGATACTGGAGGCGAAGCCCTGCCTCACTCCTCTCACAGCTGGCTGGGAAAGAACCACACCAGCTGCTTCTCTGAAGATGTAACCAGGCCTTGGAGAGAGAGAAAAGGGGAGTGCCAGAGGACGGGAAAAGGAGAGGCTGAAGCCAGCACCTTACACAAATTCCCATTGCACTCCAGCCTCATTCCTTCCCCAGCACTTAAGACCAGGGTTTTGCTGACTGAGATGTTTGATAGTATAATACATATGCAATAGCACCATGTTAGGTGTGTATTCATATATTTAAACATTTACATTGCCATTGAAAAAAGGAACAAAATATGCATGATAATACTTGCATGCAAATAAGCTTATATACACACACAGTCAAGTAGTTCTGCTTGACTGTAGTACATAGAATAATAAACATGCTGATTGCAGATTTTAACTAGGTTACTCTCTTTTTAAAAAACAAGAAACAAATTATTTCAATAGAGCTGTTAAAAGTTTGACTGCAAGTTTTCCCCATAAAAGAACAGTGTTCATTAAGAAAGAACTTTCTGAAAAATGCTGTTGTAAATTCACAAGTATCAAGAATATTTTAAATGTAAGTGGTCTTAATTAAAAATCTGCCAGGAAAGGATGTGTCTAAAGTTGTCATTTTAAATGGATAGATGTATTGATGTTAACTAAATGGGACCTTGGTACTGAAGGTACACGGAGTATTGGGCATTTGGGACACAAGAAGAGAGAAGAAGCAAATCCTTCGTGTCCAGCTTGAAAGTTTTCCAGGGAGTTGCAGCTGGAAGCAGAATGCTGGCAAATGGACCCTTGGTTTTATTCCACAGGGCTATGTTCCTGTAGTTTTAGATGAAACAACTTCAGTGCCATCTGTACAACTCAACTGAATTCATGCGCAGAGAGATCCTATCAGCCTCTTAAAATCCTTCTGAGCTCAGTGGAGCTTACTTCCAAGCTAAATGCATATAGGATCATACCCTATTGCATGCCCAATTTTAAACTAACCAAATTCTTCAATAGCCTTGCTACAGTTTTGTCCTTCCTTGGCAGCTTGTCAACGATAAATTGGCTGTACAAAGTCAGGAACAGACTTTACTAGGGTAAACAAGAAGAGTTGGTG